ATTTTAAAACAAAAATTTTTCGAATTTAATTTATGTATGGAACAATCAATCTGTGGTCAACTTTTTGTTTGATAAAGAAGCCACATCTTTTTTTTTTTTTGGTTTTTTTTTTAAAAAAAAAATTTAAATAACCCCCCCCCCCCCCCCAATTTCAACTATCAGAAAAAAATGGTCGTAATAACGACTTGGAAATTTTACTATACGTACAGCTCCCCGGATGAGCGGACCCATATATGGGAGACTTTTGAAATTTCAAAAAATTCAGCAATGTTAGAATGAAAAACACGGCCCCACGTTACTATCCGCTTAAAAATATTTTGCTTTTGCTGAAATTTATTCTGGACGGACCTTAGGAGAATATGCGAAGGGTAACAGAAGGGGATTTTTCGGCGTGCTCGATATTTGCATTCTGTATTTATCCCTAAGGTGCTCCTAGAATAAATTTCAGCGAAAACAAAATTTTTTCAGAGTCGTAACGTGGTCAGATAGTTGCCTAACTGTAACATTTTCGATTTTTTAAAACTTCAAAAGTTGAGTTTCAAAAATCGGGTCCGCTTGTATGAGGAGCTGTACGTGTAGTAAAATAAATTTAGTGGGATAGCCTTAAAACTGTTCCTTATTTACAGATTTTTGCTTGCAACAATGTAGGCGTTCTAAATATAAGCACTTTTTTCTCTTTAAAAAATATGAAAGAGAAAAATCTGAAATCGAAAAAATACAGAGAATGATCAGCCTGCAGAAGAAAACTACAAGACTCAAAAATCGCCAGAAACGGGCGCGCTAAACAAATTTAACAGCATTTAATTTTAGGTATAAGAAGAGGAAACTCTTACGACTGAGCCGGATTTGATCACCTTCCATCGAACACTAAGTCTAAAGAGGCTGCCTTCTAACGAAAGTCGCTGATACTATGTGCCTTGCGTTGAATGCGACTTAAAAAGTAATAGATGTCGAGAGAACAAAGAATTATCCTTGCCTATACTCTGTTTCTTCTTCTGTTAGAGACAGGTGAGCCATGTTACATCATTATTTCGGGTTTCTTCCGTTTTGAGTTGATGGTTTACCTCATAGATACTTTATCTTTTCTTTTGGTCAGCTACAACTATCTGTCTGAAAGTGTATTACACCTTCGTTTCAATCATTCTGAATCGCTATGAAAACAATTCGCATAGTAGTAGTTCTAAAGATCAGACAGCAGAGAAAGATCTTGAAGTTTTGCTTCCTCCAAGCTTCATCAATAATATGCCGGTGTATTTTGGCGTAGATCGATAAACTCGAGCAAAATTTTCTTTCTCTTTCTATGAAGGTCTCTGTCACTGCGAAAAAGGATATCTTCTCATAAATGAACGCTGTATTGAACGTCCCGACTGGTACCAAGCACTACAGTACACAAAATGCATATTGTTGATTTTGGAGGAGCGCAGAGAGTTATTACATGTTAACTGTGTTATTAGTCTGGCTCAGTTCTTCGCATAGAAAATTCTCCTCAGCTTCATGAATTCCATCGAAAAGTTCAACATCTTCGCGACAGAGAAGGACCACAACGACGACAGATAAGAGCATTTGTAGCACCCGACTCTCGCATTAAAGGTAAATAAATGATTTATTTGGCTTTTTTGTCGTACTTTCAAGCACTTATGTTTTGGTGCATGAGCAAAAATGCTTATATGATTTGAACATCCTCTGAACTAGTTTTTTCATGCGCTGAAATTTCTGCTGCGAGAGACAGAGTACTGTGCACCAAAACGAGTGTACGTCAGAGTCAGGATAGAGAACTTTAAACTGAACTTACCCATTTCTTATCTTCTCTGTTCTTAATAGGACCATGGTGTAAAAGTAGTGCAAGACGGCAAACCTCTACGAAGAACTGTATAATCCTTCAACGACCTTATTTACATAGTAAACAGTTTCTTATCGGACGCAGTTCATGTGCAAAAATTCGAGCTCGTCTATGCAGGGGTTTGCATTTTTTTAATAGTTTGCATGGTAAAAGCAACTTCAACTTCTGTAGTATTGTATTTCATAGCGACGAGCGATGGAGCCTTGAAACGGACGAAGCGAAAAAATTTACTCGGAGGTTAGTGAGGACAAAACCGAAAACGCATTTGCAACCCTGAATGCTTAGCGATAAGGCTACGTTTTCAGTTATTTTCATAATTTAAAGTAATAAAGAGGGGAAAGTCAATTGTTTTCACTTGATATATTCGTTTCTACTCTCTGATTTGTGTTGACTTCAATCGACTGCCTGTTTCTGTGAAGAACACACGAAATGAACCTCACAGTTTTAAATGGGAGCCTTGACAAGTAATCTTAGGAAAAAAATTCTTACATATCATGACCGAGCAGTGGTCACTCTTGAAACTACAAAATGTTTTTTTTGAAATGACTTGTCTGGAAGTAAAAAGCACTGACTATAAGATTAATAGGTTGCTTTTCTACATAAATACTGACTTTTTCCTACTCTATTTCATCTTGCTGTCAAACAAATACACAAACTTTTGATCGCCTGTCGTTTGCTTGGCATCCCAGTTATTCGGATTATCCGTCAATAGTTCACACGAATCCGTCGTTGTTAACGTTGATAAATTGTGTTGTATTATACAAGAATTCTTATCTAACCAGGTTTTCTTTATTTTAACGATAATGATCACTAGATGTCGATCAAAAAGCGATTTATCACCGCGGGAGGTTCTCTCGTTAGTGACTAACACGTCAGTGATGGTCGAAAATTAAATAAGCTTTTACAATTTCTAATGTCAGTGGCACGGCGTTCCAAAGAGTAGTTCTTGAAGAGAAAAAGGAATTTTTGAACATTGTTGAGGAAGAACTAGTATTAGGTATCTTAGTATCATATTGTGAACATGTTAGTCACTAACAAGAGAATTTCCCGCGGTGATAAATCGCTTTTTGATCGACATCTAGTGGGTTATAGATTATTGCCCATGCTGATTCCGAATATGACCATGGAGCTTCCCCACAGCCCTTCGAAGATCCAGTTTCTCAAAAACTGATTTTTCAGAAGACTGGATCTTCGAAGGGCTGTGGGGAAGCCCCATGGTCATATTCGGAATCAGCATGGGCAATAACCTATAATTCACTAGATGTCGATCAAAAAGCAATTTATCACCTCCGGAGGTTCCCTTGTAAGATTTAGGTTTTTGTAAGATCAGCCGTTATGATTCTCTTTACACTTCCGATTCAAAATACTTTCATCAGTTTCATTCGTTGTAAAAAGAAAACACACCCACTTTACGTTAAAATTAAGGTTAACGTACTTTACGTTTACGTTAAAATTAACGTTAACGTACTTCACGTTTACGTTAGACTTAACGTTAACGTACTTCACGTTTACGTTAAACGAAAATTAACGTTAATTAACGTTAAATCTGACAGCCCTATATGTGACGAAAGCTAGGACTATCACATCAACTTTACGTTAAAATTAAGGTTAACGTACTTTACGTTTACGTTAAACGAAAATTAACGTTAATTAACGTTAAATCTGACAGACCTAACCGAATGGTCACATTGGAAGTTAAAATCACATGAGAGATATTTCCAGAATACCATTCACAAAATGTCCTTTGAAAATTCACCTGATTGGTTAAAAGCTGATCAGTCGAATTTTAACATACAATGGACTACGTTGTATTTTTAAGTAGATAGTAGGCTCTGATGTTCAATCACTGAAAATACTGAGAACAGAAAACCTAAAGTTTTCAAGTCGTTTGGCCATCGTGAAATCTTTTACCTCTCCCCTTATCCGCACTGATCCTGTTTGGCTCATTCCGCTTATCTCGAAACTTGGCCATTCTTTGTGAATGATCCTTTTAACTTAAATGTGTTAAATCTAATGTCGTTAATGTATTATTGATTAATAATATTCTCTGTAATTGTTCTATATTTTCGTCAGATATTTCGTTCATACCAATATCAAATTCTAATATTGTATCATTTTGTTCTAATGATTTAATTAAATAACCAATACCACTAGATGACATATGGTTACATCTGATGGAAAAATATTGTAAACTTTCAGTTTTTACTAATGCATCTGCTAGCAATTTAGCACCCTGATCAGATATTTTATTATATCCAATATTCAAATATGTTAAGAAATTTGTTTCCGTTAGAATTTTAGATAAGTATTTTGCACCATCATTTGATATATCATTTGATACAAAATTTAATTTTATTAATGAAAGTGTGGTTTTATTTGATAAAAATGTTTGGATTGTTTGAAGACAATCATTACCCAATTTATTGTAACTTAAATCTAATGATTCAAGCACACTTAATAATTGATGAATATGATTATTTCCAACTATTTGATTATGGCTAAAATCAAGATTTTTTAATGCCCTATTTACCATTAATGTTTTACTCATTTTAATTATACTCTCTGTTGTTATTTGATTATTACTTACACAAAGTTCGTTTAATGATTTATTTAATTTCAAATTATTACACATTTTGCTCATACCATGATCTGTAATACGGTTTAATTTTACATTTAATAGTAATAACGAACAGTTGACTCCTAACATGTTGCCAATAGCTTCTGCACCATAATCATAATGTGATTATCACATATATCATTACGCTCTAAAATTAAATGTGTTAACGTTGTATTGGTTTCTAATGATTTACATAAAATTCTAATACAATCACTTGATAGTCTATTACCACTTAGATTCAATCGTTTTAGTATCACAATTCTTCCTAGATATTCAGATATTATTTTAATATTATCATCTGTAATTTTATGTAAATGTAAATCAGTTATTTTACTACTAGTGTTATTACCGACTATCTATATAAGACGTCCAAAAATGTTGTTCGACATTTTGGATCCTGGTATGTAAGCTGAAGTCTAAAAGAAAGAAAAAAAAGATTCTGTTGTTAAAGAAAAACAGTCTTCGATCACACTTGATGGAAGTTTAAATCAATCTTATCCGAAAGAATTAATAGAATGAACGAAATACCTACTATTTTATGTGGGACGAACGTTCTTTTTGTGCATGGAAGTAGACAACATTTGTGCTCATTATAGGGATGAGAAATTTTCCAAGAAATACAGAAACAAAATCTTGTGCGACACACTCTGTGTCGAATAATCTCATTGAGCTTTTGTTCATTTTTCTAGAACAAAATAAAGTGGATAATACAAATTATTTTTCAGCAAGTGAGAAAAAAGCTTTTTTGGTTGAATAATGGTAAAAACGTTTCTACACTATTCGAACGCTTTCTGTTCTTGTACCCAAGCAAAAATTTCTAAATATAAATAGCGACGCTTTAGTTTTACCTCATTAACAGTTCTTATATGACGTTGATTGCTGTACCTCATTGACAAAAATGGACATACATATTCTAGAAAAGGTCATGTTTATATGAATCTCTAATTCAGAAAAGCATCTTAAAAATGATTATCTAACATTGATTCATTGATTGAATTTTTCAAGTAGTCTGTTTCGTTTAGAAAAGAAAATTTCAATCTGTCAACTAGTTTTATTTTCTCTCCAAAATTGACTATGATGAGAATAATGATTTAAACCAATCATATTCAGGAACATGAAAACATTTTCTCATATATTGTTTTCGTTAAAATTAATAACAAGGTACCACTTGTCAAGGAAATGACACTTGAGAAGGGTCGCGTTCACTTGGCCGACAATCACTTGGCCGACACATCACTTGACCGACACCATTTCGCCGACAAATTGTTTGACCGACATGTGCACTTCGCCGAAATATTACGTCAAAATTTTTTTTAAATTCAACTACGTAATAGTGTGATTCACTGTTTGTTAGCGGAATATTGATCTAACTAA